AAAGATTGACGGAACATCGAATCAATAAAGGTCAGTGTGAACACGCTCACCGCCGTTTCAATTGATGGAGGACGGAGTTATTTTGATATTTTTTATGGTACGATTTTACACCTATTTGTTTTGCTTTTTCATTTTTTTTTTGGAACTTTTTTACGATTATAATTACTTTAAACACCTTTGTAAATTCGTAATTATCATGCTTAACGGCGTTTGTTGGCACCGTTAGGGGTGATTTAGTAATTGTAAATTGGTGAAATCTTGGACCTTTTTGGGACACAATAGCGGGACCCAATGGGATGGCTTGTTTTAATGAAGAGACCGAACAGAGAAACAAGTGGGGCCCCACTAACGTCTCGACCTTCGAAAATCGCTTGGATCTATTAGCCTACGAGAATTACTATACAGCCCATAAATCTCTTGATTTATTACATTAATTTTTTGGAAGGTTTTCCTTTTGGGTCCAAAAAATTATCTTACATTATTTTTTTAATATAAGACAAAATTCAAGGAGATAAAAAAAAATGATTCAAATCCATGGATCCCAACTCTTACAAAGTGAGATAATTATTAAGTAACTTATAAGTTTCAATAAATATCTTAATTATCTTCTGATTATTTAAAAATGAGAAAGAAATTAATCATTAATTAAAAATGTAACACATTTAACTATAATGAACATGCCAAACTGTATTATACTTTGTGAAATTTTTTAACCTTCGTCGTAATATCAATGTATAGAATATAATAATCTTTAATTTCGTTATCTATTACTATAAAATTGAGGTTGATAGCCGATTTAGTCCAAAACTAAACGCGTTTAATCAGTTGTATGGTTCACTATCAAGCTTGTTTATAGCTGATTTAGTTTAAAAATAAATGCGTTCAATCAATTGTATGGTTCACTTTCAACTACAAGCTTGAATGATTATCATTTATCACATTTCATGGACGTGAACAAGAATGATGGCTACAACTTGAAAAATGCCGACACGTTAATATGTTTGTCTTTGTGAAGTTAAGACGTGGTTGTCACTAAACCCTTGACCTAAATGTTGTAATGGCCTGTCCAAATCCGAAAACAGAAGGCAATGCCAATCCGATTCCAACAGTAGTTTCACTATCAAGGTAAGTCTCTTTTATGTTCACATTATATAGTATTCTATTTCCCTTTGGAGCTCATATTCTAGCAGTTCTTGTTTACTTTATCATATTCCTCCAAATAGAAGCTTAAACCATAAGAGATTTCAAGCATGCTAGGCTTGGTAAATAGGCTACAAAATTAGGTGAACAACTACTTATTATGTCCCTAATTCTAGCTTGTCACTATAGTAACATCAAACGAGTAAATTGCATTATCACTTTTTTATTAGTATTTATATTTTCATCCAAGATTTTTTTTTTTTTAAAAAAATTAAAATATATCATTCAAATTTGGATAAAATATGGATAAAATTTATCATGTGACATTTCGATAGACATACACAGGATAAATTTACTCCAAATGGTAGTAGTACGTAAATGGATGAATAAATTTAAAATAAATTCAAAAAGTTATGAATAAAAAATTTTGAGTTATAGATGAAAATAAAACTTTACAAAAAGTAGTGGACTAATAATGAAATTTATTTTAAATTACATATTCAATTCAATCTTATAATTTAAATTTGTTTACTCTCAAGAGAACTCTTGAACTGTTAAATTTTGAAATGTTAATCACGAAATAGACGAGATAAGCGGCTTACCTCTCCTCGTATATATCGAAATTTTTATAAAAGAAACTTAGTATTTCTTAAACGTCAACCGTATGAAAATCTAGCCAAAGAATGTGATGTTCATGTAGGCATGTGCTTTAGAGTAAATGCAGTTTGACCAATTTCAGTTTCTGTATTTCATCAAAGACAAAATTGACCAAACCATGTAGTTGGTAATGAACTATAAAGAGCTCACGAGATGCTCGAATTCCTAGAGAAATGCACGAGAAGCACGCATACAAGGCACCAAATCATATTCTTCCTTCGATTGATTACTACTATTTGGGTGGTGATACATATATATAAAGTCATAGATGAAGCATGATAAGAAGGTCAAATTAAATTTTAGCAATCAAGATAAAGAGAGAGTGAGTGGTAGTTTACATCAAGTTAGTATAGTAGCCTAGTCACGAGCGTCCTTTAGTGAACCCCCAAAGTCCAATTCTAACCCTACAAAACAAGAACACATCATGTTCCAGAGCTTGTGTGTTTTGGGTATATTAATCGTGACTTAGCCACACTTTTCAAAACAGAAAATGATGGTTATTTGAGAGAATTTAGAATTCTTCAATATAATCTTTTCGGATGAGACTTTATAGTACGGATTCTGAGATCAGAAACCCAGAAGGGGCCAGCTGAGCCCGGCATCTCCTAACCCTCCCCATTGCTGCCCAGATGGTGTTTGCTGCTTTCACTTCTTTTTCTTTTGTGCACTTTTGACTGGTTTTGAGTTTTTGATATGGCAACGTTTCATTGGTAGCTCAATCAAGCAGAGCCAATGGGAAGCCTAAAGGGCCCACCTGAAGGTCCAGTATTTTCCATTTCTTTCCCCTATAGTCAAAATTAGAGGTCCCCAAAAGAAAGCAAAAGTGCAAAAGGACTCAAAAAAAGAAGAAGAGAAACCCCTCTCCCATCTGCTGCTGTCATGTTAGTCATGATTGGCAAGCTTCCTTTTCCCTTCTTTCCTCTACCCTTGACTGCCTTTCTTTTCTCTCTTTTGCTTCCTAATATCACTTTGCCTGAAAAACCCCGGTTTTCCTCCCCGAAATAAGCTCATGGTTTGCACAAAAGCTAAGAGGAACAAAATTTAAGACGACACGAATAATATTTTGCCCACACCACATAGAAGTACTGGTACATGCTCCATTACTAGTAACAGTTAATTCGCCTTGTTGATAAATAAAGAAGAAAGAAAGGAGAAGATACAACTAGTCTTTTCTCTTGGCCAGGACCGTAAATAAAAAACAAAAAACAAGAGTTTGAGTAAAAGCTTGTTGAAGCAAACACATGTAAGACAGCGCAACGTTAGGTTTGTGTGATTTTGCGCCCTACTGCATATGCATCCAAACAAAGGCCACAACGCCCCAAACCCTATGATCGCCCATGTGATTCCTTCCTCAACCCACAGTCAAAGTCCTCCTTCACTCTCCCCTCTATACGTGCCCCCTTGCATGAACGACAATTGGTCGCAACAACTTCTCATTAGCAGTAAGATGGAGGACACTGAACAGATGTCATAAGAAAATTATCTTTTAAGTACACAACAGGTTCTTGTATGAATTCAATCTAATGGGTGATGGAATTGGCGTGGTAGGACCGTGGCGGAGGATGCTACCTCTGTGCACGTCCTACGTAAGGAAAAGAGGGGTAAGATCCAAGCGGAGTAGTAGGTTCTACCCTTACCATTGTAGCCAAACGGAGTCAGCAAATTTGGATCTCGAGCAACCCCACATTAAATGTTCTCAGAGGGACACAGCACCCGTGCAGCCGTAGCCCTGAAAATTGCTAAAGTTGGCGTAAGCATATTGCATAAAGATGGTTGTCTGAACGAGAAAAAATCTTGCTAGCTCCAAAAACACCCAACTCCAATACTTTATATGTACAGACTGTATAGATAGATCATAAACTACCCTTACAAAATCTTTCTCAAATCCCCAAGCTGAAGCTATAAATCTTTTTGGTTTGAGACAAATAAGTAATTACAACCTTTTGCATTAGGATATACATGCTTGTAACACCAAGATAGATTACCAATAAGCTCATAAATGTTGAGTTACAGTCCAATGTTGTGGAGCCTAGGGATGGGGGAGGGGGGTGGGGTTCTAAGGTTAAGCAGGGGAAAACAGGGGAAGTACTTGAAGAGTAGAGAGGCCCGAAAAAAGTGGTTTGGCCCCCACAAACATCAATCACTGTCCTTGATTAGACAGATGGATGGGGTTTTGATGAGCGATTCGTGATGACTCTCCCTCTCTTCCTCCTCCCCTCCTCTCCTTCCCCCTCCAATTCTCATCATGCTCATCACGTGACATATCCAACTCATGATCGTTTCTGATTTGGGGAGTTGGAACCCATCTCTATTTTTTCTTTTTGAAAGAAAATATTGGAGTTAAAACAATTTTCTTTTTGTGATGATGCTGTTTCTGTAATGATAAGACTATACGCTTACCAGAATTCGTGTCAAGTGTCAACGCCGTTAGATTTTTCTCAAGTAAAAAGTTGTTAGGTTGTCCTTGTCAACACGTTCTGAGTTCTGTTTCCCTTTGGAGGCAGAGGTAACTTTGGCATTCTCTCTTTGTCATTTTTCCTTCTCTGTGAGTGGAGTATTCACCAAAAGGTACTTGGAGCTGCAAGCCAATAACAATACACTACACTCCTCCATGTTTTCCGATTAATAATTGAACAATGCTTCCGTGTCCTTTCATTCTCACAATGGGGGAAGAAAGGACCATATTAATCACACAAATACCATATACCCGAATGGACATTGGAAGCACTTGCAATGAATACAAAAGCTAAAACCCAAAATTTTATCCACACCAACGACAAAATGTTTTTTCTTGTCATGACAAAATGTTTCATTCTAAGGTTATAGTATACCCCATTTGAATGCCTTCGCTTACCCTTTTGATGGCTCAATAATTAACATTTCGAGGACTGTAGAAATTAGGAGTGGTTACCTAAGTTTGAAATGAACTTTAATAAAAATATATTGGGTGTTGGGAGGTAGTGGCAAACTCCTCGATAAAACATGGAGTAGAGGAAAGGCTGGGGTCCAGTTTTCCGAAAACACCCAACTCATGGTTGTGAGCCCCACACCATCACAAGACCTCATGATTTCACTTCACAAACAAAGGAGAAATGCATACGATGACGATAAAACGAAGGCAAGAGCACATGAGGATTGCTGAAATTGGGATATAATAAATTAAATTTTTTAAGGAAGAAAAAAGGGAAAAGAAAAAGGAAACATTTGGGAGAGAAATGGGCAGGGAGAGATGGGCATTTTTGGTTAACCAGCCATTCTCATCCTCTTTTCTTATCTTATTTGTTTTGCAACATATAAACACATATAAACATTCTCATAAAAAAGTGAAAGCCCACCACTAAACTCCCACTTACATCTCATCATCCTCTCTCCCTAAAAGACTTTTTTTAATATAATATTATCTATAAATACTCCCTATGATAATTAAACCCTAATTCCACTTGGGAAAAAAAAAAAGAGAATTGAAAAGGATTAAGAAAAAAAAAGGAGTTGGGGAAAATTAAACTAAAATAAAAACCCATTTCCATGTATATTATGGCATCAAACTTCTACTTCTTCAACTATAACTGAACTGAACTGAACCACCAGCTGCCACCACCACCGCAAACTTGATCAAACTTTATAACCCAAATTACCAAACTTTTCACATCACATTGCAACTTGAGGTGTTCTCATCACTAAAGAAGTGGGTATAAGGGTCGGGTTGGGGAGGCGGGTAAGGGTATGGGTATGGGGGCATGTAATTGACCGCTGGGGGTGGCCTAGCATACATCATGGGCTGAAACCTCTCATTTCCTCCATTGCTGCTGCTGCACGTTGGTTCATCATAGCCGCCAAATACTGTTGTTGATGGTACGGGTTCCCGGCATTACATCCGGACCAGCCCCATGGAAGTACCCGCCACCGCCACCGCCACCGCCACCGTTCATGGCAGCTGCCGGTAATCCTTGGACTGCTGGCATGTTACCCATTTGGCCCATTTGGCTCATAGGTAAATTGCCATTTGGCCCATAGCCATGTTCATGTTAGCCATCTGACCGACATTGCCATTGGGGCCACCCATGCTAGGGAATCCATCATTTATACCATTTGGAGCACCATTATTACCCTTTTTGCCCCCATTACCACCATTATTACCACCATTCTTGTTTGCCCCACCACCAATTGTTACCATTTTTTACCTCCGGAGGAAAACCACCACCATTTTTACCACCGTTCTTACCACCACCACCTTGATTTTGATCCCCCCCATTATTTCCTACACCGCACCCACCACCACACCTTTTTTACCTCCGTTTCCATTTTTACCCTCATTGTTACAGCCAGCAAGAACCTGAACAGGCACAGCATTGCCACCGCCACCGCCACCGCCACCGCCATTACCTCCTTTCTTACCATTGCCTCCAGCATTTGCAACACCATTTTGGCCACCCTTTAGGGCATTCATGAGCTGAGGATGATTACCATTCACCATCATGTTGGGCATTCCTTTAGGCCCATTTCCCATCACGGACTTCATCTTGTTAAGAGGATGATGAGGGTCATCATATTCATCATCATATTCATCATCATCAAGATCATAATCATCATCCAAGTCATCATAATCATCATCACTGAAGTCATCCTCTTCAGCAAACTTTACAGCCTTTTGGTTGTTTTGGTTGAAAGGAGGCATCTTCATGTCTTTCAATTGAGGTAGCTTCAGATCTTGAAACCCTTTCATTTGTTGAAGTTGCTGAAGCTGAAGCTGTTGAAGTTGCTGCAGCTGTTGAGGGTTTGGCTGGCCTCCTTTGGGTTGGTTATTGTTGTTGTTGTTACCACCTTTTTGGCCTCCTTTGTTGTTTCCACCTTTGCCACTATCAAGCTGCATGTTCTTCATCTGGCTGGCAAGGTCGTTTTGGTTCTTATTAGCTTTTTGAGCTCCCCAAAGCTCTGCATGTTTCCCTGATTTTGAAAGCTTCTTGATGAGAACAGCTGGGTCTACATTTCCTGAGACTGTTACCTTACCTTGCTCAGAATCTATGCTGGTTTTGTAAACCCCTGCCAAAATGAAAAACCAACATACCAACCCAAGAGCTCAAAATGGAGAAGTACATATAAAACATTGAACTTGCAAGTCTAAAAAACAAACAACAAATGAACAGTTTTGTGGAATCTATATTTCTCAACAAGGTGCAAAATGTAAGAAAAAAAAAAGACCAAATTTTAAGAAGAAATACCATCAATTTTTTGCAAGATTTTCTTCACTTTCTGCTTGCACCCATCACAGTGTATGTTAACTTTGAGAACACAAGTCTGCAAAGAAGAAAACAGCAGCAAAGAAGATTGAGTTGAAATGAAGTAAAGACACAAACTTGAACAAACAAAAAAGAGAGTGAGAGAGAAAGAGAGTGAATACCTGGATCTTCATAAACTCTTCTTTACTCATTTTTCTCTTATGCTCAAAAACAACAAACAGAAGAGTACAATAGTGGTAACAGAAAGAAAAAAGGAGTTGGTAATAGATCTGAAGAAAAAACAGAAGAAAATGAATTTACAATAAATCCCCACAAAAGGGTTAAACTTTGTTCTTTCTTTTGGGTCCTTTCTAACACAAAAAAAATGAGAGCAAGAACAAATGGGGCTGGTCTCAGTTTTTCTCTCTCTTTCTGAACAGAAGGAAAAACTTTTGTGAGACTCAACAACAAAAGCTCAGTCTTGGAGAAAGAGAGAGATAGAGAGAGATATCCACAGGCGGTGGGTGCACATTAAACTTCTCTGGTAACTCTGCTTCCTCTATTTCAGGGCAGAGAGAGAGAAAGAGAAAAGCTGTTGAAGCGAAGAGAGAGAGAGAGAAAGAGAGGGGGTGCAAAGAGACTGGCGCAGAGAGTGAGTGCTGGCGAGGCTCACTCTATCTTTTGGACCTTTATTTATTGGTATATTAGCTGGTTAAATGTTTCTTTTTTTATTTTTTTCAACATTTCAATATCAGTAGTAGTATACCAGTTCTGTGTGAAACTTCTATATAAATTTATGGCGTTTTAACTCTATTACAGCATTTAGCCATAGTTAGCCAATTGGGGTTTTGGCTTGGCTTGAAAGGCCAGAGTTTTCTTTTTCTTTATTTTTTTTTTTCTAGTTTGTTTGATTCTTATTAGTCTTGGCTTTGGCTTCTCTGAAAATCTTTTCACCTTTTTGTATTTTCGACCAAGGGGGGTTTGGGTTTTGGTGTGGTTAATAATAAATGGTGATATTCTCATATTTGTTTTTTAATCTTTGATAATTATTATCAGCAAATGTGAATGAACTCTTGTCAGATTTCCTCTCCCCAATTTGGTGTGGTGCAATAAATAATGCCATTAAATGGGCCATGGGGTTTGGCATTCTGAAATTGTTATTATTGTTTTTAATTTTATGTACACTGCTTCTGGTACATTACCACATTTGCCCATCAACCTTCAATTACCCTTATACCCCCTCTAGGTATTGGGCTAAGCTAAACCACTTGCCCAACCCACCCCGCTGATAATGTCCCCTTGGACCCTTTGCAACCCAAATTCAGCCTTACACTCTTTAACTTGTTCCCTTGTCTTATATATATTTTAATATTAGACAATTTTTTTTTCTTATAAAAGATGACTGCTTGGTTTGGTGAAGGAAAATGGATTTCATTGCCTTAATGGCTGTCTATTCTGAATTTGTAAGAATCTTGTTTCATTGAAATTTCCCATTGTTTGTCAATTAATTTGGGTTTTTTTATGAAAAATAAATGAACAATCAGTCCAATTCATTTATTTTGCTTTTGGGGTTCATGTTATTTCCATACTATAAAGTTGGATTAACCTTACAAATTAAATGAATGATGGATCTAGCTAATTATGAGCTTCCAGATTCAGCTATTGAGTCATACAAATTCTTCACTTTTTTTCTTTTGCAAATTGACTTGAATTAATAGTCACACAGAAAAATTGACTCCTGACCTGCATTTTTGTTTAAATCAAGTTATACTCCCCTATCCTTAATAATTGGCTTCTGGTGCTCATTTATTTCGTCCATAGAAGATAGATTGAATCATTGAAACTTTTCCCTTTTTTTCCCCCTTTTCCACTAAACTTTAGGAACAATTAAGATATGTCCTCACATTCAAGACAATGAATGTACAATTAGTTGAGTCCCACAAATTATGTCTGAATGTGTTTTGAATTGCTTATTAATTCCTGACATGGTGTAAAATTACTCACCATGTTTTTCAGAAACCCTAACAATGAATGTAAGCTACAAGAAGGGAACAAAAAACTTGGAGTGGTCACTAAATGCCATGAATGACATGTATCCTTTTGCACCCAAGAAAATTGGAGATGTAGGACAAAGAGATGAAAAATATCATCCTCCACTTATATTTTGAAGTGATGGGTAGATGGATAAATTGAAGAAGTATTTGTTTTAATCAATGGTTTTGCTAGAAATGCAAATAAAGTGTTTCAACTGATCAATTTATGTTAGATCAAACAGTTGGTAAAAGAGTAGTTGACCATTAATCTTTGGCAGTAAATGCATGAGCTGAAATCTAATTGTAGAAAAATCCCTTGAAATCTCTATTCAAAGACTATGGTTTCTATTGGAAAAAGTATTTCTTGACTTGGCATAATCATATATGGTGTATAAGGCTTTATGGATTAGCCTGGATTACACAAGATGGTCATCTTTCTCCTTTATTCTTCCCAATTTTGATGAAGGTGGGATCTAGTCCAAAAATCTTTACATTAACCACTAAAATACTAGTATACCACCTAAGTTAGTTGACAATACTATTGCTTTTACCTTTTTCTTTTTAAAAAGGTAGGAGTCAGGAGATGAAGCCTCCCTCCTTTTCCTTGTTGGAAGGTCTTGGCATAAGAAGGAATTCAAACTCATGATCACATGCCTGGTTTTATGAGCAAAAACATCAGAGTGCCAAAAAAAAAAGATATGCGAACTTTACCCAAAGGGGCATTGTAGAGTAGACAGTTCAGTTTAATTAGGCATCAGTCCTTACATGGCAGAAATAAAGAATTCAGGTTTGAAAGCCTTGAGGATGGTTGAGTTGACAGAGGAGCAAAGCTCGTATTCTCCAATCCATGAAGCTTTTTTTGTTTTTTTTTCCTCTGTGGTCTTCTCTGTTTGCCAAATCAATGCCTTGAGTTAAATTATACAGTTCATGTTGCAGTCTATAGTTGCTATCAAGAAATAGCAATTTTCTTTGGAAAGGGTAAAAGTTGCCTATCATGGCCAATGGTTGGTACAATGAGAGAGCATTATTCATTTTATCAGGGTAAAGATTGATATATATGGAGAAGACTCCAGCCTTCCATAGCTTACATAAGATACATGTTCCGCGTTCTGGCGTTTCCTTTCTATGCAATGCCGTGTGCTCTGGAAAAACCCTCCTCTTCCTACGCATGCAACTTCTCTCTCCTGCTATTTATCTCTCAAATTGAAGCATATACGAAGTTTTAATCCGTAAAAATTAAAATAAAGATAAAAACAATCGAGAATATAAAGTATTGATATCGGACACCTACTTTGTCTGACAACCTGTTCTCGAATTCATGTAACGTAGGGGAAGTCGAGGTATATATTCGGGATTTAGTTAGTGAAGGATGTTTTTCCTCAGCAGAAATAAAAAGGAAAAGAAAGGGTTGTTAGCTTGTAGTTATGGACTTGAGAAAAGGAGGTGGGCAAAGGGTGTGGAGTGAGGTTGTGTTAAGTGCTAAAGCTTGGGGAGGTTTAGTCATGCCTTACTTTAGCAGCAATTAGGTAAAGAAAGCTACACGGAAACTAGGCCTATGATGCAAAAGATAAAAATCACGCTTGTAGGGCTATTTTTCTGTCTCTAAGTTTGAACCCTTCTTTTTTACGCAAATTATTGATGTTTTTATCAAAAGCCTAAACCGTGATGAAACCCCTCGTGCTTTTATGTCTCTCTGTTTTTTCTTTTTCTTCCCCTTTGAACAATGTCACTCTACTTGTAAAAGGGCAGTTGAATCCTGACAAAACACCTAATGTGAAATGGATTGCCACCCTCATTTACAACTATGAGACCATTTTCTTTACGCTCAAAATTTTAGCTTTGATGTCATTCTTTGCTTGTACCATTGTGAAAAAACCGATAGCAAAGCATAATGATTTTGTCTGTCAAATGGTTACAAGGAAGGAATTCGAGCAACCCTATCAAGGGGGAATAGGCAAGGAATCCAGCTTAGGATATCAAGAAGTTCCCCTCCCCAAGTCAAATTTCTACAGGCTGGAAATTAATTAAGCATTGAACAGTATTAGCATGGGGTTTTGTTCTCTGAATCACAATTATATTTAGAGGAAGTGCCTACCAGTTTTGAACTTTGACGTTACATGGCTTGTCTGTGGTTCTTAAAGGGAGTGCTTCGAGCAACCTAGCTAGGCCATTTCCCATTTATAACCAGGGGCATCACATGAGCACCACATGGTTAGCAGATGGTGATTGATGAAGGCGGAAATTGCAGATAGGGAGAGGGGGCCAATTAGTATGATCTCCAGCTGCTTTCACACATGGTCCAATACAGATCTTCCCTTGTTCTAGCTCTAGATTTTTGGGTTGAGCTTGGAAACATAATAATGGGAGATGGAGATGTCTAGTAAAGTGTTCTGACTACTAAGGAAAACCTCCATTCACTGCTTGCACAGTTGTACTTTAAAAAGGAGGTGTAACTTTTGTTCGAAAATCCAAAGAAAAAAAAAAGGAAATTTCACTGCTATAAAAATACCAAAAGCTTCAAGGACTTTTCACCGATGTCGATTGTCATTTTGCAAAAACCCTGAGACGTTTTTCATAGTTATGGCTTTCTTGTAGCTTTCGAAGAGGTTAATTCAAGTGGACCAAACCCTGTGGGAAAAATCACAGAGAACCCCTGCAGGCGATTAAAAAGAGAGTTACAGGGTTATGGGCAATTTCCATGTATATCACACCATTCGGTGACATTCCCCACTTTAAGCAATCTTTTTCTGATGCAAATTCTTTCTTTTCACCATTGCCCCCCACAAGCTATTATGACAGTAATATTTACCGGCACAGGTGATGTCCCCATTTGCTTAATTACATTTTATTCAAGCTTTCACTCAAATTACATCAATACTTCTCAGAGAGAGAATGAAATTTTCCACAGGATTCAAATTTGGTGACTTTGTCAGTGTTACATGAATTGAATTAATGAATCGATGAGTGTGTGATCAACTGGCAGCCAAAGTGGGTTTGAGAAATACAGAATCTACCCACAGATAATTTTGCCTCAAGCTGGAAGAAAAGGTGATGCAGCTATCAACAGGCTGAGACCCTGCAGGCATTAAATAAAGGGTCCAGCGTGTTGGGCCTGATGAGGTTGGGAACCATGAGATTCAAACTTACGATTGCCCTACCCCAACAAGTGGTGGAATGACAGTGATCAAGTTCAAGGCCATTTTATTTTAAAAATATTTACGTATATTTTTTATTTTCTTAATCAATATTGCATTTCTTTTATTAGTTCAAGAGTTTTAACAATGTCTTATTTAATTTTAAATGTAAGGCTACTTTTAGTAATTGCGAATCTGAATGGGGATGTAAAGGATATCTTGTAGCCCAAAAAGAGCTTTGAGTAACATGCAAAACATGATTAGCACAGCTCTGAGATCCATAAGTTCACAGTTTGAACACCCCAACCAAGCTTTGGAGAATCTTTGCTTTGTTCGCCATGATTCCAACTTAGATGGCAGATTCTCAGCTTTCCTTTTTGAATGTTAAGCCCACCAGGCCTAGAATGTTCATCCCAGGCATTAGCCCTACACCTATTCTTGTCTTTTGAGTTTTTTCCTCTGCTAACAGAAGACTTGCCTAATACATATAATAAATTAACTTCAGACAAGTAGGAGTAGGGTCAAACAACATACAGACTCAAAATT